AATTCAGACGTTATTATCAAAAATGGTTATCTATTGTAACTTACCATTATTGTCGAAAACGTTATTGCGGAAGTCATTATTGGCGAGAGCCTATTGTACCTATAGCCTTCCTTTGGCCAATGATGTTCTTTAAATAATTATTTATCCTTTTAGGGTCATTGTTGTCTAATCTGAGTTTTTTGTATGGTATGTTCTGCCCTTGTGCATTAAGTAACTCATTATTTAAATTGTCGTGGAACTCGGCAATCTCAGATCTCGTTATCAGGTCGGTGTCATCTGTCAGGTTCACGCCCAAATGCGACACCCCCTCTCTCAGCTGCCTCTTTAAACTGTCAAAGTTTGCCCTTCTGAAATCTGGTACTTTAGTGGAATTTTCCTTATGTCTGCCCTGAAAATCTAACTGGAATCTAATTTCTTTGTGATCGCTGTTTGCAAGTCTGTTCCCTACCTCGACATTGCTAATGAGGTTTTCTCTGTTCAACAGAACTAAATCGAGTATATTATTACCCCGGGTGGGTTTGGTTATATGTTGACTTAGAAAACAGTCCTGGATCGTTTCGAGAAAATCCTCTGATTCTGAGTTACCCGTAATGTCAGTCCAATCTATTTGGCCAAGGTTAAAGTTGCCTACTATACAGACTTAATTGTGTATGGAAGCCCTGCACATTTCATCCCAGATAAGTCTCTCATTGACTCTATCAAGAGTGGGTGGTCTATATATTACTCCTGTGATTAATTTTCCCTTCCGTTGATTAATTCTATCCAAATTGTTTCTGTATTCTGCTCAGTTTTTATTTCCTTATTTATTTCACACTTCAGATTATCCCTGACATAGATTGCTACTCCGCCTCCTTTCCTGGTCTGCCTATCGGTATGGAACAATTTGTAACCCGCAATTTGGTATTCGACCGGTAACTCACGTGAGTTCTAGGTTGATCCATGTTTCGGTGAATGCTATTGTATCGATTTTTTCAGTACATACCAAGGCCGTAATATCATCCATTTTGTTTCTCATGCTTCTACTGTTCACGTAGTAGACATTTAAGTTTGTCGTGTTGTGAGTCCTCCCTTTACCGCGTTTAGGTTTAAACTCCGTCTAATTTAGTTTTGTCATCATTCCTAACACTATTTCCCTGTAATCTTTCACTTTGTTTACCCACTCCCACTGCAGTCTCCTCCACCCCCATGCCCATATGTTCCCCTAGCAGTTTAAAGACTTCGATATCTATTGAACTGCCCCCTCTAGAGACCCAGCCAGGGTTGCCACCCCATCCCGAGACAGGTGCACCCCATCCCTAGCATAAAGGTCCCTTCTGCCGTAGAAGTTGCCCCAGTTGTCAATGAATGGGACTGATGTTGACTTGCAGTATCCGTCAAGACGGCCGTTGACACCAACTGCCCTTGACAACCATTCAATGCTAACTCTCCTTTTAGGCAGGACACCACATATGTTAGGGATCCCTCCCTTAGTCCTAACATGATCTATAGCTGTCTTGAACTTATCAAGAAGCTCTTCACTCCTACACCGGCCTATATCATTGCCTCCTGCACTGAGGCAGATAATGGGTTTGTTCCCATTACCAGACAAGATATTGTCCATCCTGTCAACTATATCCCCCACCCCAGCCCCTGGCAAACACACCATCATCCTATTTTTATTTTTACCACTAAAGGCTCTGTCCAAGTACCTTACCTGTGAGTCAACAACAATTAAAGTTTTTATACCTTCCTTGTCAGCCCTGTCCCTGACTGTACTAACGTCCATTTCGTCTATCAAGGGACTGAACGAGTTGGTACACTTAGCTGTTGTTGTCATTGTTGTATCCTTGGTGTGTTTCTTAGCCACCAGTTTGGTAGTCCCTCTCCTCACAACCTTCCATTCGTCATTCACCGGCTTTCCTTGTCTCGTTTCTTCCTTCATCCTTGCTATCTCTTCCTTTAATTTCAAGTTTTCTTCCTCTAATTTCAGGTTATTTTCCTTGGTACTCTCTAACTCGGCCTACAGAAGGGCGTGACCCCGTTTACAAGTAGCACTAGCCATATCTGGTAATTATCCCCGGGAGCGGAGCTAAGCTGCCGTGACCTTTCCCCTAGTGAGGTCAGAACAAAACAGTACTGCACTAGGAGAAATTTATTACTAAATATAAACAAAAGTAAAGTGCATGAAAAATGGAGGCAGTTAATTATTAAAGTTTGAAGAACGATAGAATAAAGTGAGAAGGTTCTAGTAATTGTGTCAGCAAGGGGAACATTGAGTAACTAACTGAATTAAATAATAGAAAGGGGAAAGCAAGTAACGAGTGTACAGTATTGAGAAGTGTATGGAGAAAGAGAACTGTCAAAATACATGGTACAGTACAGTAATTAATAAGCAACAGTTGGAAATTGAGTAATGCTTGGAGGTAGAATTGTAAGTGAAGCCCAGGGAGCATTTATGGGTGGACTATGAGTATAAGATATTAAGGAGATTTCATGCAAGGAGTGCTCGATCAATCTTATTTGTGTCGATGTAAAACTTTTAATTTTTATTTCATGAATAGTGATACATAATGAGAGATGAACAGTTTATTAATTCTGAAGAGGACATGTGGGGTGATGTAGTCTGTTAAGAGTGGAATGGACGAGATTGTGCTTAAGTGATAGTGGCAAGTGGAGTATGATGGGGGGGATTGTGCTATGGTGATACAGGTTGACAATCCCTTATCCGAAATCCTTGGGGCCGGAGGCATTTCGGATTTCGGAATTTTTCGGTTTTCGGAATGTTTTTTTTTTTTTTTATTAGCCCACCTGGGCATAGATCACTGACCCACATTGGGGCCTGGGGGGGGGAAATATAATAATAATAATAATTCATAGGTCTAGGTCGCGTTTCTCACCTTTGATCTTTTTTTCATTCTTGTATTTCTTTATTGTTATTATTATTAATTTTGTTATTATATTTTATTATTATTATTGTTGTTATCATTATTATTTTATTTTGGTGTACAGTATTTTAATTAAAAATCTTATTTACTATGAATAATTATTATTATTATAATTATTATTTCTATTACATTTTCGCCCCCCAGTCCCCGATGTGGGTCAGTGATCTATGCCTGGGTGGGCTAATCCCTGTTAAAAAAATAAATAAAATAAATAAATGGCCCCCACAAAAAAAAAAAAAATTTCGGTTTTCATAGCTTTTCGGTTTTCAGAATTTCGGATAAAGGGTTGTCAACCTGTATTGTATGGCAGGGGATTGTGTTATGGTGATTCTGTTATGGCATGTAGGGTATGACGGGAAGGATTGATGTGGAAGATTTATGAGAGCACCAGGAAAAAAATTATGAACCGAGTGTAAAATTGAATTATTCTGGCCTAGAAATGTAAGACAGAGAGTATTGTGATAATGTGAGTGGGTTACATAGTGAATTGTGAGCAGTGTTAAGATAGAGGAATTACATTGTATAATTAGTTTCTGAAGCAAGTTGAGAATATGAGACACTGTGGATTGCTTCTGCTTGTTTCATCCCATTCTTAAGGTTTCTCTTTTTCCTTGGTTCACCCTGCACACAGAGTAGGAGTGGAAGACAGATTAGTGATGGGTGTTAAATACACAGTAAGTCAACTTGATATCTTAACTCTTTCTACACCGTTCCTGAAATTTCATTCTACATGGATTTGTACATAAGCAAGTTCTGGTCCGAAGTCGGTGGTGCTACCTCATAGTGGGTGGACCAGTGGCAACGGGGGTGCCAATGAATCTCTTGGGCGAGGCCACCGGAGGGCGTTTGGTCAGGGTCATGACGGGACTTCTCCGCTGACCAACCCACTGTCACACCGGAGACCTTTGAGTGTGATTGGGTCTGTGCACATTTCATTACATATAATGAAATTGTTAAAATCATAATACAGTACGTACTTCAGATGACGTTCACTGGTGTGTATTGTGCACCTTTGAAGACTGAAACTATCGTATCAGTGTTTAACTTTAGAAGTGATTCATAAATTGCTTAATATCAAAGAATACTTTAATTCCTGCACTTTGTATCAAATTGATCATAATTCTCCTATAAGTATCAAAGTTAGATTTAATTTGGAATTAAATTAGATAGCATACGTACTTGGAATTTCAGATTCATTAAGCATAATGCCAGTTATCAGTAAGTAATTGTAAACAGTGTAACTACAATACTATATTTTGAAATTGCATATAGAGTCATTCAAAGCCAGTTGTATTGTATTCACATACTCTTCCTTTATGTAGTTGAATTTCATAACTTATTTATTTCCAATATGGAATATACAGTAGTGTACAGTAGCAAAGACTCAAATCTGTATGTAGATTATGATTTTATAAATTAACATATTCAGTAGCTTGATCTTACTTTGTAGATTTAATGATCAGACTTGATTGAGAAAAGCAAGTTTGATGCATTGATAATAAGTTGTATGAGTCTTGATGTTTTATCTTGTATACAGTAAACCTTGGATGCCATTATGTAGATACTGTACTGTCAAAGCCAAAACAAAATCAAATTACTATTGTTCACCAAGTTGAGGGTGTGACTGATGGGAGTGTTGTGGCTTGCGACCCTCTGGCAGGTTCAACCATGGTGGTAAGGCCAGGAGAGGAGGCACCCGCGGCAAACTGCACCACGCATTCTGTTAGCTTCATTTCAGGTTTTGTTGTTGGGTGTGTGACAGATGGTTGTGGGGACAGTGTTTGTTTCTGGTGATCACCTTCCTCTGGTTTGTATTGATATAGTACATATCACTGTAACAATCTTATTTCATTTTGAAAATTTGTCTACAACAGTTTATGTATTGAAGATGAGAGAATACAAGTGATGCTTTCAAAACAGTTTCACTAAAATTCTTAGACATAGAAATTTGGGTAAAGTTTATAGATGAAAAGGAGGTAAATCATAGTGCTTCCAGATATTGATCATAGTCTTGGTTTACAGTTTAAAGGAGTGCCCCTATTGGCCTCCACTGTCAAGTGTAAGATTTGTTCTCAGGAGTTCGCAAAGCAGTGGAGGCGAGGATAGTCCGCTGGAGGACAAGATCAACCGCAAGACATTATTTTACCTGATATCCACCCTCAATGCAGCGTTCTACCCGGACTATGATTTCAGCAATGCTTCTTCTCAGGAATTTTCTAGGGAGCCTTCCCTAGAGGTAAGATTTATCTGGAGTTTAATGTAAGATAGGGAGAGGGTGATATAGCTCTGCTACATAAACGTCATGTTGATATATGGGGCTAAAGATAATTTTTAATGGACAATTCACAGGATTGCTGGAATATTAAAAAGTGATTATAACAATCTTGAATGCTTTTTTTGCATATACTGTATTGAGTGTCCCATTCAGAGTATTTAAAGACTCGGAGTGAATTTTGAATTGTAAATGTGTTTTACTTTGTGATTGAAAGGGTGTTAACCAGCCCACATTATAAGGTGAGGAGTTATATGCATGCTTCCTGTCATATCCTGCCAGTGTGGTAGTTTATGTGGAAACTCCTTCAAATATCAGTCACTGCAAAATTTCAAGTTGAATAAACCCTCATTTTTATGTGAGATTTTGTTTGAAAAGGGATTGTGTAATCATTAAATTCTCACTACACAAAGCCATTAAATGATTGGAAAGTAATGACTAAGGTCCAGGAACTGCAAAGATCATCTATTACTGCAATTCTTATTCCCCTTTATGCAACTTACAACATTACAGTCTTCATATAACATCACTTATAATTAATTAAACTAGAAAAAGGTGGATTGTTTCCCAAGATTAGTTTTTTTTTTCCATCAATTAGAGTTTGGTTTTGGGCACCACCCAATAAGGTCATTTTTCCCCTATAAACAATACTGTATTACATAAACTATATTACATTCATTATCTTGCATCATTAGTACATTATTTTGCATATTTAAATGTGATCAGCTTTATTAGTTATAAGACTAATACTGTAATTAAATATTTCTTCATAAACACATAGTATGGTAAACTAGTGATATTTTTCACTGATTGTTCATCAATGAGTGGATTGCCTAGGCAGGAAGAAATGAATCTTGAAATTGAACCAGTTTACTAACTTTGAGAAAATACAGGTTCAAAGTGAACACTAACATTATTGACATGGCTGAGTTTAGTGAATGCTGGTTGCCCCTAATAAATATGGTACATTTATCTCAAGAAATTTTAAAACTGTACAAAATTTCATGAGAGATTAAAATTTTTTTAACAGGGTCTGAATAAAAGTTGTTATTGAGGAATTTACAAGCATTCTTTACAATTGTATGAGTTGTTTATCTTAATGGTCACCAGAGAAAGTGATGAGTCTCTGTCTTTCTTTCTCTTTCTGTAATAGTGCAATCTACTTAATGACAGGAGAGGCTTCAAATGTTTTGTGGTTTGCATGGGGGGTGTGTTTTCCTTAACCTTACAAAGAGGAATATTATTGCTTTATAAGGACCTCCATTTTGAATAACTACGTATTTTGCATAGACTGGATCACCTGATGATTAAACACCTTTAATGTTAGGTTAGTATTAGGGTGGTTAATCTTTAATCTAAAGGTAAAATAAGCTGGGAGGGCTGATTTTAGGTGATCCCATAAATTGAATGTATAAGTAGTGAAAGTAAGGAAGGTTAGTCACTACCTCACCTGCAGTCCTTGAATTAGGTAGATAAATCCTCTTCCAAGTTGGCCATTCCTGTAGTTATTTAATTGTATAATAACTGTAACACAACTTCCTTAGACATTAGTGTACAAATTCCTTTGTTTCACCTTTTCCCTTTCTCTAGCTAGTTCAGGTAAGTCACAAGTTAATATAAGTGGGTGAATGAGTCCAGACATCCTATTTTATGACTAGGTGGAACAAGTCACTCATCCCAGGTTTATGGCACAAGTTGTCTGGAAGTGGTTGTCAAGAGATCCTGTTTTGATTATGGTGTCAGGTTAAAAATGTGTGGTACATGAAGGGATTAATATAAGACTTGATGACTCTTCTATCTGTCTGTATATAAGGCACTCGGTGAAACACCAACATGTGCAAAGTTCACTCTCTGTGATAATCAAGGTTAAACTTAGTGTACAGTAAAAAAAAACCGAGTACCGGACCAATTATGCCACAGCGACGTTGTTAATTAGACGAAATCTGGGTGCTTTTTTTTTCAGACGTCCATATCAGTAGGGAAGGAGGCACAACTGTTTATAACAACCAGCATATTACACTAATGCAGATTGGCTCATAATAAATTAGTTTAAGTAAAATGGTTATACTTATGATATGCTGTATACTAATAGTAAATTCAGTTAATTTTTTTTATTTAAAGTGTTAATACTATAATGTAGGTAGAAGCTTTCACAGCAGGAAAGAAGATTACTGAAGGTTTCTCAGTCCCGACATATGTATGTATGTGGCATGGATGGCCTTGTGTTGTGTAAGATGATGTGGATGTGTACTGTATACCTCTGGCAATGAAATGGATATGTTCACAAAATCCACTTCGTTCTCAGGAACTTCATTGTTATGCAGTAGGTGCTGTTGATGTAACAATGAGTAAAAGGGAGTAGGTTCCAATCCTTCATTATTCTGTATTTTACATACGGCAAAATGAGCAAAAAATTATTATACAGGTAATAATGGGAATAATACAGTATAGTCTGCATTTACGCGGTCAATTGAACCCATGGAGTGCCGCGTAAAACGAGAAACGCATAAATGAAACAACAGAACATATGGGATTAATTGAAATAGAGACAGGGCCGACCCCCAAACTCCACTTTTTCCGACACAATACGTACTTTGTAGTAAAAATATCATCTAATTTTTTGATGGTATGCACACACAATTAATAATTAAGAGAAATATCAATAATATTAGGTTTTTTAACACTTACATTAGAAAAGCTGGGTCGGCACGCGTGGATGGCGGCTGGTTCCAAGGCAGAGGGCAGATTAGTTGCCCGCCGGTGAATCACTTTCACCTACACTACTCGCAGAGGTTTGCAGGGCCTCCCAGACAAACACCTCAAAATCCATATCCTCACTGTCAATATCACTATCACTGACATGGGTTGGCTGCGGTTGTGGTGGGTTGCGGGCGAGGAAGTCCTCAATACTACGTTGACAACTACCATTGATGTTGTCAAGATAGATCTGGATATACGGCTCCACAACTTTCGTCAGATGGTTATTAGACACTTCGTACCGATGCTTGTCTGGGTCGTTGTCAAGGATGAGCTTAAGTTTCTCCCCCAACTCGATGATTTCTTTCACATTATCATGGCTTGGTCCAGGTAATTCAATGTTTTTCTCTGGTGGTGGGGGTCCCGAGGAAGCCATTATGAGTTGTGAGGGGAATAGCGGGCACAAGAGAGAACTGTATACACGGACTGAGAACAATGAGACAATGCCCTGCTAGGTCAGCGACTTCTACCCTCTGGTGGCAGGGCACGTCATGTTACATTAGACCAATCACAGCTAGCGGTGGAGGGGGGTAAGTATGCTTGGCCCAATCACAGTCCGATACGTCATATATGACGTCAGCGATAACGTAAGAGCGACCTAATGCGCACCACTCACCGCGCCGCTTCCCTCGTATGGTCAAGAATGGACCGCGTGAGTAAAAAATGGCGCGGCGGTCTGGACCCCTCCAGCCGCTCGCCGCATAAATGACCAAATTTACCACATAATTAAAGCATTTTCATTCTGGCAAGGCACCAACGTAAATGACCAAACGCATAAACAAAAGCCGCGTAAATGCAGACTATACTGTACATAGCACATTATAAAATACAGTAGCACATATTTTATGTAAAAAAAAAATAGCTTCTTTTGCCCTTGAACCATCTTATAGGTAACGATAAGAGTGGAGAGCTCAGCCAGCCAGCTGACTTGAGACACATGGCTGCTATGCCGTGAATGTCGTGACGTTACATTGGGGAGAGTAAAGCGCTTTCATATAAGATTCACGATCCACACACAATGTTGTTAACATTTATGCTTTTCTTTTTTCTTTTTCTTTTTTAGTTTTATATTATATTTTGTTTATTTCTAAGTCACAGAGTATTGAAATGATTTTCACTTAACTTTAACAGTGTCATTACATGAATCACTGGCATCATGCATAGCCATCTCAAGGCCACAGCTGCCTGGCAACATGTGATCCACTTTTGTTTTTAGTGGAGATGAAGTGGCTCACACTTAAGACATGCTTTCAGTATATTCAGAGTTCCAAATTTCTGCATTATTTCAGTAACAGAGTATTTATTGTCGACCATAGTTAGCACTTTCAAGTTTATCCTTCGTGGTAGGCGCTTTCTACTCTGGGGCCTTACCTGAATGTATTTGCACAATGCTTGTAATTTATATATCATGAAAGAACAAGTAAGTCTGCACTGAGTAATAGCCAAGCGTAGACTGAGTACAGCACGGCTGTGTTGTTGTGATGTGGGCACCACATGGTACAATCTGCGTAGATCCACAACAATTACTATGACCCGCAAGAAATTTTTTTATATTTTTAAATAAATTTTCCAAGATTCGTGGTGTTACTCAGATGCTCCGGTACTCAAGGTTTATAATGTACATAATTTGTATCATTACACTGTAGCCAACCAAATGATTCTGGTGTCAAAAGATAGAGAAATAATATAGTTTTAGAGTACAATACAGGGTATATAAAAATGTGTTTGGTAGCTAAAGTCTGAATAGTCATTTGGTCGAGTTTATTTTAGAGGATCACTTTAGAGTTTAGAACATCAGTAAATGATCACTAGAAAAGGTGTGTGTGGATGATGAGCACTATTTAAGTAAAAAGTAATGGAGAATCACTGAAGTGGCATCTGATAATGGTGGGAATAACAAAGCTTTAGTTTCCCCTACCAAGCCCCCCACACACACACACACCTGGGTCTCTCATTGGGTGAGTGACATCATGTCCCACTGACCCTGCAACCTACAAGTGACACATGAAGACTGCACAAATGGTTGAAATTCCTATGTTTTATAAGTCGATTTTTCCCTGTTCCAAAGACATACAGTATCTCCCTTCCTGGCCCAGCTGACATTACAGAGATTTGCCCAGGCATCTCATATATCTATCTTTCTGTCTATCTAAATATCTATCTGTCTATGCACTGTGTCTATTGAAGTATTTATCAGTTTATCTGAATAACTGTCTATACTTATCTGTCCAGTTGTGGCTGAAAGAGTTGAGAGTATTTTCAGCATCACACAACTGTATCCAAAAAGGACAGAATATACTATGGATTATAAATGAGAGCTACTCATATTTCCTGTTTCTCATACAACCTCCCTGCATTTTGTGCTTTGTGTGACCTCCATGTTCCCTGCATCTCATAGAACACCAAATTCCCTGCATCTGATGTGACAGTGACTACAGAGGGGCTGAGGAAGGCCTTAGGATGTAGAAGTCTTGACAACCTATTTCATTCTGTTTTATTTGGTAGTGGATATAGAACAGACAGATTGGGAAGGAGAAGGGTAGGGTGCCATTTAAGCATTGTTATTGGAAAGGAAAATTGTGGTGAAGATCATATAAGTGTGGTGATTAGGAAGGAAAAGAGAAGGATGCATTGGAAATTGAGAAGATTACAGGGAAAATATTTATTTTCACTCAATGAACAGGTTTATGTGGCATATGACTGTTTTAATGGAGTATACATTATTTGAAAGGTTTGTGTTGAAAACTGGGACAGCTTCCTTCCTGTCTTGTCATACTCTGCTTTATGGTTATATTTCTCTGCCCGTCTGATAAAGTATAATAGCTGTTACTTCTCAACCCCCGAGCTCAGTCTTCTATTTTTCCTCAAATTTATGCTAACAGTTTTAGTGTTAGGCGTAACTTTTAGGGTGTCCTGTCCACCTTAGAATTTTTGGATCACCTGAGGATTAGCCCCCAGCTAAGTTCATCTGATGATTAAACACCCCAATGCTACCTGGTTGGAGGTTAGGTTAAGGTGATATAAGCTGGGTCATCTAAAATTTAATATACAGTAAGGTGAAAGAGTATTTTCTCTGGTACACTACAGTAATACCCCGCTTAACGCGGTTTCACTTTCCGCAATTTCGCATTTACGCAGTACCTAGCCAGAACCAGACTTTCACTTTACGCGGTGCATCAACTCATATACGCGGGAAGCGGCCTGGGCAGAATGCGCACAAGGTCGCCCAGTCATCAAAACATTACCGAGTTCTTCACCCGCCACCCACCACAGCCGGCCCAAGTCAGTGATAGTGAGGATATGGACTTATATGGACTTTGAGGGGTTTGACAAAGAGGCCCTGCAAGCCTATGTGGTGGATAGTGATACAAGTGATACAGGTGAGGGCCAATAATCTGCCCTCTGCCTCGGAACGAACCCCTCATCCCTGTGTGCCCAGCCATCTTTTCTACTAATGTAAGTGTTAAAAAAACTAATATTATGGATATTTCTCTTAATTATTAATTGTGTGTGCATACCATCATAAAATTAAGATGTAATTTTTACTACAACGTAGGTATTGTGTCTGAAAAAGTGGAGTTTGGGGGTCGGGCCAGTCTCTATTTCAATTAATCCCATATGTTCTGTTGTTAACTTAACGCGGTTTTCACTTTCCGCGGTACCCCGTGGGTTCAATTGACCGCGTAAATCGGGGTACTACTGTACTGTACTTTCCCCTTTGAACCAAGGAAGAGTTGTGTTTAATGAAGTTTTGGGGTTCCCGGGCCACTTGGAGATAGGCTGATCAATTTTCACACCAGCTCGAGTCTTGGAGAGGATATAATAGATTATAAGTTTAAATTTTGTACGTACCTTACTTAGGTGACAGTAGAAATCCCACTTCTGGAGGGTGAAAAATGAAAAGGACCACATTTGAGTTGGTGGCAAATATTGCATCTTATTTCCAGAGTTTGTCACTCCTCAGCCTTTAGTGTTAACTGTCACCTCTAAGAATCCTTTTTTAAAAGCTCTGGTTGCCATGGGAGGATTTACTAATTGTTTGTCAAATACCAGCCACTCTTGTCAAAGATTAACATGGAGTTATAAAGGGTTATAAGATTATTTAAGAGGAAAGGGATGAAACATCAAGCAGGAACATTCACATGCACCTTCTCATATCCTGTACATAAAACATAAAACTGTTTTTGTGGTTACATTTATTGATCTTTAGTTTCAGTGATAATGTTTTATTGATAGTGGGTGATGCGTGCTGTTGAGCGACAGATGATGGCAGTTGCTCGGTCAGAATTCATTTCTGTGGAGTCTGCACTTTGGGCTGCTCTGGACAGTGCCATCTGTCTGCGAGAGTGTGAGATTTACAGCTATAACCCTGGTGAGTAGTTTCACTGTTTACCAATAGTTAAAGCTGAACAAATATGGCATCATATAAGATTCACCCTCCCCAGCTTATTTCACCTGATGATTAAACATCCTAATGCTAACCTAACCTGACTTGGCCTAATGTAATTTCACAACTTAACTTAACCAAACCACCTCAGGTAGTATTAAGGGTGTTTAATCATCAGGTGAATTAAGTTGGGGCTTATCTTCATGTGATTACAAAATTATTATACTCTACAGTATTTCAGAGCTGTGGCAGTAGTATGAAATTTCCAAATAAATTAATTTTATTCAACTTTTGCCTGAGAATTAAATATAATAATAAGATGATTACAGTAGAAGTCCAAAAATCCGGACTGCTTGGGGCTTGGGTCGGTCCTGATTTTCGGATTTTCCGGATTCTCAGGCAGTACTTTTAAAATTCAAATTTAAGGAGGAATAAAGAAGAGATGAACAGGTACACTTTGATAGTTTATTCATTAGCAAATATAGCATGCTTCATATACCAAAATGAGCAGTTTTAATGAAAAAGCTGTGAATTCTAGAATTTTATTCTTTGCCTTTTTTATATCATAAATTGTAGACTTTCCAATGTCGTATGTTTCCATTAGAACAGTATTGCTCACACCACGCTCTAGTTTCTTAATTATTTCAAGTTTGTCACTCAATTTCAACGAGTTCTTCTTTCTCTTCACACAACGAGGTTTATCTACTATAGGAGCCATTATCATGGGCTTGTACAGTACTCTGTAAATGGAAAGAGTAAGACTCAAAATAATGTTATATTGCACTGGTATTCTATTCATACTGTGCTTGATATAATGCATTCACGGAAATGTAATATTTTTGCTGAAATGGCGTACGTATTACAGTGGAAAGTTGGATAAAATCGTGACGAAAACAATGACTTTATCTTTCTCTCGTTCAAAAGATGTTACCGTAATCGCTTTTCGAATGGTTTTCAGTTAAAAAACTGTTGTATTACAATAATATTCTATCCTAATTGACTTGAATAAATACTACGATACCATATTTCTGAATATTTTCATTAAAATCCATCAAAATCATTTTCCTTGTCATCGTCTGCATCACCAAACAGCTTCTCCCAGTCCTCTCCTTAAACAGGGCTAGAGGGTACGTGTTTTTCGAATCGTTTTCAATTAAAAAACTATTACATCACACGTATATTTTACTTAAACTGCGCCTGAATGAATATATTCTTGGAAATAAATAGTTTTGCTGAAACGTGACATATTTCAATGTAAAATAGGATAAAATACATGACGAAAACAAAAGACTTTACCTAAGCTTCCAATGTTCTTAAGATGTTACTCGTTTTTTTAATAGTTTTCTGATAAAATTCTGTTATATTACAATGATATTCTATTCATACTGTGCTTGATATAATACATTCACGAAATGTAATATTTTTGCTAAAATTACGTACATATTACAGTGGAAAGTGGGATAAAATCGTGACGAAAACAATGACTTTCGCTTTCTTTCCTTCAAAAGATGTTACCGAAATCGCTTTTCGAATGGTTTAGTTAAAAAACTGTTGTATTGCAATAATATTCCCTCCTAATTGACTTGAATAAATATTTGAATGGAAATATACAATATTTTTGTTGAAACTACCCGCGTTTCAGTGTAAAGTGTCGTAATAATAAATGGTAAACAATTTGCCTTCGGCACTCGTGTTTCAGGCACGGCGAGCCTCAGTTTATAGGACATAGAGTGTTTTTGCTGAAGGTTTTGTTGTTCCATTACCCTCAAAAACGTGGGTCAAACTATAAACGAGGAATATCATAAATTAACGATTTCTTGATCAAAAAATCAGGGTCGACCTATAAACGGTATGTTGTCACAGTTTGATTGCTCGTTTTAAAGTAGCGACCACGTGGTCGCTTGTTGTCGCTGTGCAGCTGTGGCGCTCACGCATGCGCACATACACAAAAGCCTGCTAAAAAAAAAAAAAAAATCAGTTTTCGAAAAGTCCTGATTCTCGGGTGGTCGGGATTTCTGGCATCCGGAATTTTGGACTTTTACTGTACATATGTTGATGTTATTGTTTTAAGAAAAGTGTAATGTTTTATGTGTGTTCTGTCTTCAGATCAAACATCGGACCCTTATTCTGAAGATGGTTGTCTCTGGTCATTCAACTACTTTTTTTACAATTCTCGTCTCAAGAGGATTGTTTTCTTCACCTGCCGCTCCGTGTCGCAATATTGTGGTTCTCCTCACGACTCTGGACTGATTGGCAATTCATGCATGGACTTTGAGGAAGTATTTTGAACACCTAACAAAGCCCTCTCCCCATCCTTATTATTATTGGGGGAATGGAATCACGTCATTTATATAATGAGTAATGTTATGTACAGCAAGGAATTGTTTCACTTCTGTTTTGTTTTTTCTTTACTGTATTTTTGTTCATAAAAATGGAAGAGTATTTAGTTTTTGTAATTGTATTATAAAAAAAGGTGATAATAATTTGTAGGAAAATCCTATGGTCTTCTGTGTTGTAGACAATGGATAGATGCATATTTGTGTCAAGCATTTCATTATTTAGTTTGAAGATTAATTATACAGAAAGAGGATACACAAAGTTGTGTTATTCTGAGAGTAAAATGGATCACTTAGTAGTTCCTTTTAGTTTTAGGCAGATACTGTATATAGTACAGGTTGAACCTCCCTAATCCGGCACCCTTTGTACCTGACCGGTGCCGGACTATAGAATTTTCCGAACCACAGGTGGTCTTTGTAAAATACTTAGTATTATTAATGCGCCAATTATAGTCTCCCTGGTCACTTCTGTGACATTTTATAAGCAAAAAACATAAACCTAAGATAAAAGACATAAATAAACAAATAAATACTTCACTAGGCCTTCAGCGCCAACTGTCAAACATGTCACTGTCACCTCCCCTTCCTTCCTCCCTCCCTCTCTGCCAGGGTTTGGTGGTTATACAGTAGGCTTTAAGTTTTTATCATATATAATATCACAGACTAAAGTTAGGAGAATATAATTTACATTGCTAGAATCCTTGCAAGACAGCGAATAATTTGAATATAAACTTCATATATTTTGCACAAGAGATAAAAAATTTGCTCTTTGTATGTCTAATGCATGTTTATAATCAAATTAATCACTATCTTATAAGAATTCCAGCAATGTTAATTATATTCTCCCAGGTCAGCTCAGTGACATTTTATAAGAGGAAAACTTAGTCACTCATAAGGACAGATAAATAAACACTAGACCTTGGCATCAACTGTCAAACATACCGGTATCACCTCACCTGCCCCCCCCCCCTCCCATCTTTCCAGCCAGTAAACAGACCATTTCGCATCCCTTAATTTTAGCTGTGTTGATTTATGAATGTTTGCTTTAACATAATACTACAAAAAACAATGTTTTGTTTATTATAGGAGATGGGCTGAGGTGTATCTGGGTAGACTTTCAATCTTTTTAGTATTTTGTTTCTCTCAAATACCAAACTAATATGCTTAGGAGGCATATTAAGGGTAAATAACAAGTGAAATATTACAGAAACACTTGAAAACCTAGGAACGCACCAAACTCCACGAAGACCAGATGTAAACAAAGGGTATGCCGAACTATGGATACTAGCACCGGTGGGTACTAGGGGCCGCCTGGCAAACTAAAATTTTGCTGGATGACGGGAGGTGCCGGACAATAGAGTACCGGATTAGGGAGGTTCAACCTGTAGTTTCTTTAGTCATCACATATTGAGTCACATCTTCCTGTACTGTACAGTGAAGTGAGATGATTTTTTATTGTGTTATATGCACATATGGAAAAGGATGAATTTGCCTGTTTTTGCCATATTTTTTGTGAATCATACATTTGTATATACACATATACAAATACAGTACATATATATATATATGTATATATACAAACATCCTGTACAAATACACACTTAAAGACATACATTACACTTAAAATTCGCAATATATTTTTGAGCCATATATCCTCAGTTACAAAATAGTAAAAATGTTGAAAGCATTATATAATTTTTTTTAAGTCTATTCCACAGTACTGTACTTAAAATAAAACAAATTGTTGTGAGGGTATTGTTAGGCAGTCAGGGTATGAAAGAAATGGCAGTATTTATTTACCAGTGGTTGGCCAGGGAGAGGTCTCTATAAATACAGTAAGACCTGGGTCATTTGTATGGTATTGCTGTACTGTAATTGCAGTGGTTTAGAAAATACACTGTAAATTCCTTTTTTCCAAAGGGCCTTGGCTGGAAAAGCCCCTTTTTTTTATGTGTCACCTCACTGAGTGGCTTAAGTTACAGTTGTTAGTTATAGGTTCTACTTGGTAGATGAGTGAATGACTTCATCCGATGGGGTGAGGGTCCAGGCAACATAATGAATACTACGTGTATTCCTCGTCACTCACCAGTTAGTTCTTAAAAGCCTTGTGTATAAGTTTTGTTGTGTTTTATCTCATGTACCGGGTACTGAAGGTATGCTTTATTTTTGTTGTCAGGTAATAAAATATGATTTTTACTTAAACTTGGTATATATTTGATTAATACTGTAATATTTAGTTTAATGGATATATTTTCTGTGGCAGTGGAAATGTATATTTATGAGTGGTGGATGAGGGCTAGTCACAATGAGATAAGTACAAAAAAATAAATAAAAAAAATTTAATCTCGTGAAAAACTTGCTCCTACACCTTTTAAGTTTCCTTTAGTTTTAAGAATTAAATCTTAACGATAAAACTGTCAGGAGAGTAAAAGGTTACTCTTCTGTTCCTTACTACATTATACAGTACAGTCCAATACTGTGCTTTATTTATAAGGGTCTTTGAACCATTCTTTTGATTATCCAGGATGTAAGCTTTTGTAGAAATAACAACTTTATGATTTAATATACTATTGGAAACCAGTTTAGCCAAGAACGGAATATTAAATTATTTTATAAGTTATTTGTATTCCAGTGCAACCTTAATGTTTGATGGTAGATTGACTACTACAGTGCAAACAGTTGAGGATATTTTAACAAGTATTTTTATGTTTGGAGAGTGAAAACAGTGATGAATGAGGGAATTGTGGGAAACTTACAAAATATAGTTTTGGTTGATGGAATAAAAGAATGAAACCCAATATGGCGGGAGGTGCGGGAAAATAAATGCTGAAAATATTTGTAAGTGAAGTGTGTGGAAGTGATGATGGTGGCAGGTCAGGGAGTTGATAGTGGTAGTGCTGCATGTTGTGCCAAGATGGCTGGTGTGGAAGGAGCTGTGTTTAAGTTTGTTTGTTATACTGTACTATAAGGAAAAGCTGCTAGGATATACGTAGTTGATTTTTTTCACATTATTATATGTTAAAGACCCGCAGAATTTCCAGCATTTTTCTGCCCACTGATTGCCAATACAACTCGAGTCTTTCATTCTCTATGCCTGCCACATTTATTTTTCAGGATGTCTATTGTTTATTTCCCTGCAATTTTTAATATTATGGTAATTTATGTAAATTAACATAACATGAAGGTTTGAAATTGCAATGACTCATGTTTATAAAATTTTCCTTGTGAGCAACCACCTTTAACCCTCTGGGATGATGGTAACAGTAATGACATGGCCATCAAAAGTTTTTTCCCCTTCTCAATCTCCTATTTTCTATGAATAAAAAGCAGCCAATAATATTGAATATACTGTACAGTAATTTATGACTTATTATACAGTATTATAAATGCCTTCTAAATTAGTTTTGGCCCATTTTAAACAGTAGAGTTGGGGTACATAGCATTTATAAGACCCACTTTCACAAGATTTACAAGAAATCAGAATGCCAGAAACGAAAATCTCATGCTTTTTAATTTTAAATCTTGAAAAAAAAAAGTTGAAAATATTATTAAAATTTTTTCATTGCACCTTTAGAGAATACCCAAGAAATCTTATCACTCACCCAAAGGGTTAAAACAGGCTTAAGTTTTGTACTGGGAGGAAGGTATGCTTTCAAATTATCATCATATAAATGAAAGTCTTGGATAATCAAGATTCTAGCAGGCTCGGAAATTTTTTAACATTTCTTGTCCTTAGTTGACAAGAACCTCAATATTGCATGGGGCTTTTTTATTAATAAGCTTCATCTGTGATTCTTTCTTAGAGGTTATGAGTAACAACACCTGTTGTAAACATTTACATTCTTAGGCTATTTACTTTTTCATTTCCTGGTGAATTTTATATACAGGTAAAGAAAATTACTGTCTCTAGAATGAATGGCTCCCTGTCCCAGCCGCAAAAATACCGGCAACTTTAAAACTACCCACAGACATTCTTGAGTACATCCAGGGTGTCATCCGCAAATAACCGAAAACCACGGAGTAAAAATTCTGCGAACTTGGGGTGGGGGGATGGTACTGTATTTAATTTTTGTCTTTTATTTGCAATCATACAAAAAAGTATGCCACCTGTATTTAATACAGGTGTATTTTCTTTGTGAATTTCCTCATGTTAATACCAGTTCTCTGCACAAATAGGATTGGTGAAAAGTGTATTTTTATGTAGTACTCTAAGGATCTTAATGACTCTAATAAATTACAAAAAACCAAGCAAAGTATCATTTGTATAACACCTTCTAAGTACAATACTGTGTATCCTGCCGTGTTATCCTGAACTATTAAATGTACAAGTAATAATCATGAATTTCTTAAGGGCAGTTAACTGCTCCTTTCATTTTGAATGAAGTACACACTAATAAGATCTTGAGTTGCAATAATCTTATGATGTCCCCTATGCAATAAGTACAGTACAGCAGATATTTAACCACTAGTGTACAGGGTCCTCTCTGCTGAATAAAATCCTCTGACATTTGCCAAATAAAATATGAAAAGTGGTATCCCAGTAGTGAAGGGGTAAAATACATTGCTTGAGAAAGTCAGTGAGGTAAGAAACAGTTCAAGCAGGCAATAGATCAACCCAGTTACTGGTTGGTGACAACAGCTCTCCATCCAAAATATTTTTGGATTCTCTTTAGCAATCCTCCCAAATTTTGTATCTCAAAGGACCTTTAGCCCTCCTACCTTCAGTTGTGTTCATTACTATTTCTCGCATTATCTCCATCCTAAATTTTATGGCTAAAGTATCTCATTTTTCTTCTTCAATAAACATCCAATATAGCATTTGTCACTTTTTTGCTAAATTTATGACATCCTCCTTCAGTCCCCAACATATTTTAGATTGTTTATACAAAGAGTGGACAGTTTATGCCATACACCCTGATATCAGTCATCATCATCTTTGTCATTGATAGAAACAAATGTTCACCATTTATGTTAAAATTGTTCATTAATATAGTAGAGTATTACCAGTAACTAGACACCTGCATGTCCAAATTGTCTTAACATGTAACTGGAGATTCTCCAGTAGGCCTAATTATATTGTGACGAAAGTAACACTGGCAAAATAAAATAAAATAAAAAAGTGAGATTAGTGGTGAGACTATGTACTGTATGTACATTTGTGTTTAGGATGAACAAGGCACTCAGGTTAGAAAATACTCTATATTCAAAGATAGCATTATTTTGGGTGAGTTTGAACTAACAAAAATACTTATCTATACAACATATTAATACTGTACAGTGTATTAATAGAGTTTTGTTGAAGGGGATATTAAATTAATTATTTGTTTCTACAGTTTTTTGCTGTTAAGTTGAAGAGAGAGAGTTTAATGAATGTAATGCCTGTGATTTTTAAGATTAACTGCACATACCTTGGTAATCAGTCCTCCATACTGCTTTTTGAATGCGTGGTGCTTCCACATTTGGAGTATTTCCATCCCCTGTGGTCCCCGAGATATCCTGGAGACTGTCAGTTGATTGAAAATGTGCAAAGAATGACCACCAGATTGGTGCCTGTGCTCCACCAACTCACTTA